TTTAAATAAGTCGAGCACAAAAAGAGCTAGAGAGCTCGGGTCTTCACCATTGGAAAGAAAAGACTTGAGTGCACTTTTCTAAACAGAAAAGATTTCAAAAATCTTTTTCGAAAGTAGGCTTTTTAAGAGATCTTTGAAAAATTAGGTCATAGCTCAAGAACTTCAAGTACTACTATCCATTTCAAAATATAATGTGGGTGATTGCAACATGAATAACTCGAGAACGGAACAAGCTATCGAGATCGGATCTTCTCCACCGCGTAGCCAAGATCGGGACACGTAAAAACATACAGAAATCAAAAATTTTTGCGCTGATCTCTGGAAGATTTCTAAGTGGATCTCTGGCAGTTTCTAGCTCCAAAGTTTTACATAGGAGTCTATCATTTTTTTTCATATATGGATAGTCAAAGGTGTTCTCTACATAATCAGATCCAAGCGACATCTCGAAAATTCATGGTTCGGGAGCTACGGGCATTTTCCTTGAAGCCTTAGGACTCCTCTGCCGTTAGTTTTGAGGCTGTCAGAAATGAGTGAAAACATAGATTACCGACTATGCTGAATCTCGTGGCAATATTCGTTTTTCTAAACAGTTTCAAAAACTTAGTGAAAACGTACATTAGGTGAAATATCCCATTTCTGCCTATTTTTAAGTATAGTTCAAAATTCATAACTCAGTCAAGATCAATCCAAGTTATGTCAGAATATCAAGATGTACTCTATTTTAAATTCTCCAAACGGTTTTTTACTTGAGAATAGTAAAAACATTCTTGTACTTCGCAAGACTTCTAGAAAATCCTTTCAAAAACCAGAGTATTTTCTGTCGACTTTTAACGCTTCTGTTAAACTGCATAGTACGTGCAGTGCTTTAAAAGCGGATATATCATACACCATTCGACAGGTCTCGAAGAGATCTATCGATCCATACCATATTTAACTTAGTCTGACCTGAACAGCAAACGTTAGATCGTTAAAACCCTACCTTTCGTCCGAAAAACTGTCCTTTCACAGTTTGACGATAAAGTGCTAGTGAGAACGTGTTGTCTTTGCATGTAATTACCTTCTTGCAACATTGCACTTCTTTTCCATGATATTTTAGGCTGTTATGCTCACTCTATGTCTTTCTCAGCGGCTAAAAACTGAGATAATTCTTTCAATTTTTCAATCGTCTTATTATCCTGCTTTTTTATTTCAAACAAATAAAAACGGAATAATTTATACTGCGGAATGGCTATTGGCACTCCGTGAAGTGTCAACACGAACCTACTGGTACTCCCAGCAAGTGTTTGGGAGTGTCAACAAGGACCTACTGGCACTCCCGGGAGTGGCAACTAGGAGCTATTTCCGTCGCCAGGCAAACTTAGTGTAAAAGCTATGTCGGAAAAGTGGTTTATTCTCCGGAGCCGAGCATTTTAAATTAAATATTGTTCTTTTAAAGCTTTTTAATTTTTGAGTTGTTTGTAAATGAGTTCTAATTCGCGAAAAGTATAAGTTATTTCAAGTTTCTCTCCAGTGCGATACGGTTAAATGAAAAAACAGTGTCACCGGCATAAGTTCAAATAGTGCACGTATATTCTGTTTTCCGAAAAATGATACCTGTTTTTTTTTCAAAGAAAACGCTGTGTGTTAGGAATTATACGGTTGCAAAGTTTACAAATCAGCGTTGACCTTGTTGACACTCCCTGGGAGTGCCAATAGACTCACCCTTTATACTGTTCCTAAAAAAGTCAAACCCTAATGAAAGACAAAATCATTTTCACAGTTAGTTTTGTGCTACAATTTTAAGTTTTCTCTCTTTTTCGCTTTATTCAAAAATAAAACGAAAAGCCTGCAGCCTACAGTTGGCCAGCCACTTTAGAGAAACTCGACATCAGAACTGCGTAAAATTTATGGATAAATAGGTTCAGCAGAATATAAGGAGTCAAAATTGGTGTTGTAACTTGGTTTTTGGCTAAAAGAACCGAAAAAACATTTAGAGTAATCTCGATCTACAAAAAATCTCGCTCTACATTTCGCGGTATATTGTAGTTTTGTCCTACTTAGGTATGTTTTAAAGACTGGAAAATTGCACCACTTATGCAACTTTTGACCCTCTTTCTTGTGGGTCAACGCTGTTACAGTCAGGCAAGTTCTTGTAAAACAGCGGATGTCAAAAATTGGAAAATCTCGATCTACACACTGAACGTAAAACTCTGTTTTCCATTTTTTCGTCTGGTAAGAAAGACACTTAACAAAGCATTTTTACTCAGTTAGATACAGCCGCCCTTGCTTTTTCTTATGAGCATCTCACATTCTTAAAAAAACGTTTTCTCAAGTGCCCAGTTTGATTTTTCTCTCGATCCGCAAGTTGTCTGTAAAACAAGTTTCGCCATAGACGAGCATAAACAAAAAAACAAAACAACCATGAAGGCACACAGTTTGATAGAGCATTAAATGCTCTCCAAAACGTACTATTTGCTTTTTGCTTTTCGTTCTTTCTTTTGGTAGAAAAACTTACTTTTCTCTCAATAAGTCATCTAAAAACAGGTTTTTGTCGACTTTTGATAGGTTTACCTTGGTGAGTTATTGAGATATCGAACAGACATTTTCTGTGGCAGTGAAGCAAGCAATAGGCGATAAAACAAAAAAAGAATGTCGAAATACGTTTCCAGAAATCGGAGTAATTTTAAAAATATGACAAAAACTCGATTGTACAATAAAGTTGCAAATGACTCATATACATATTAAGTACGTTTATACCACGTGGATAAGTACGTGAAGCAATCTATCCTTTTCTACTTTTATACTCGAGCTTTTTGCAGTTTATATCTGCTTTTTGAACATTTTTAAAGTAGAACTAAATCATTAAAATAATCAGTTTACACAGTAAGTACACAGCACTTGCACTGAGTGAGAGAATAAGGATATAGAAATTTCTTTCTATTTTACTAGTCTAATGCAGCAACATTGATGTTTGCTGTGAACATGAAGCATTTTTATTAAGCGCACTCCCTAAGTTTTCAACATCATGTGGTTACTTGAGCTAGTTCTGCAAGCACTGGTAAGAATTCTGAATCAGTACGGAGCAAAAGAGAAGAGAAAAACTTTTGGAAACTAATTTTCAGTTTTTACGGAACTAATGCAAATTCTGATTCAGCTCTGATAAAACTGCATATCTGATTCAACTTTTCAGATCGAACTGGTCGTCGACCAGTGTAAGAGTAATAGCATGGAAATAAAGCAGATATACAGAAAAACATCGACGAAGCAAAGGTCAGGATCCTCTGATATATATAGTTGAGGATGTATCAGAACTATAGACTTTGCAACTTGAGACATTTGCATAGATATTTATAGATATTTGCAAACATCTGCCAAGAAGTGAAAATATAGAGATATTTCTTATTTAATACGGCTCTATTCTTATTCATTTTTCCAGTATAGAATATTTGAAGAAGATACATCTGTGAAAACAATAAATACAGGCGCATATATATAGAAGTGACACGACAACTTGAATAAGTTGGGTGATAACTTATTCAAAGTAAGTAAATAGCAAGTGAAAAAGAAAATTAAAATATGTGACTAAAATTGCTGTGTACTTACTTCTTTTGAGTTCAAATCGAACTGAGCCTGAAATCGTGTTCTTGAAGAGAAAATCGGGTGAGGCACGCTGAAACAAGTGGTCTACAAGCTTAAAGAAAATTAGATAGTGGATATCCATCGTAATTCAAAATGAGACAAAATTTAACTCCATTCGAAAGGATAGGAAGACAACATTCTGTTTCTATTTTTCGTTTATGTGTCGCAAAGTTCCAAGTTTTTCCATACGTCGCGACCACAAAATTTTTAATTCACAGCAACAGTACTTTTCCTAAAGATCCACCTTTCGTTTCTATTATACTTCCGCGAAGAAACCAGTATTAGCTATGAAAATCTATCTAGTCCACTTAGATACCTACAGGAACAACATATACTAATGCTATCGAGAAATAAATATTTGAAATAAAACTTTGCTTAAATGTAGAATTCCTCGACTCGAGCTATGGGAAGTTCAACTTTACAGGTATGTAAAGTGTTTTTTGTGGTGCTTTTATTCTTGCTACTTATTCATTTGCTGTCGTCCGTATGTTTACCTGGGTTCTTCACTGACAGGGTTCTCGAACTTTTCTCTCCTACGATTCTTTACCGCTTATTACAAAATTGCACCCTATTGTATGCGATCTAGCATGTTTACATTATTCTTTGTAATTCACATACACGTCAATACAAAATACTTAAGATTTACTTAATACGAAGCAATGAAGGTTTTTTTCCGTCCAGAAGGATAAATACATACCTACTTCTACAACATGTCCGATGAGGCATAACGTAGACAAACAACGTGATACAAATCGCAAATAGTGATGGTAAATTGAGTATAGTATCTACACCATCGCGCTTACCAGTTTACATCTACAGTTCCGTGGCACTATGGACAAATTTACAGCATTTCCAAAACAGTATTTGGACCGCGACAAATTAGCAGCACTTCCAAAACAGTATTTTGACCGCGACAAATTAACAGCACTTCCAAAACAGTATTTTGATCGCTTCCGATTCAGTCAATCCGCACCTTATGTCGACAATGAGAAAACAGCAACAAATAATGATCTAGTATCGTTATTTGATGGTTTAGCAGAAGCTCTGAAATTGAAAACGACCAGTATTCACCAAATTTGTCAGGAATTATTTGATATATCAGATGAAAAATTAACAGATGTATTACTGTTAGATCATCAACTTTACGCCTTACTATTACCCAATACTTTATCTGAATTATTAGAAAAATGGTATTCAAAAACACCTTTGACAGATGATGAGAGTGACTTATTTGGTGAAACAAGTAAATTATTATTAAAACTAATTCAAGGTTCGAATGACGAACAGGATAAAATCGATAAAATTAGAACATGGCTGTTAAATGAGACATTTATTGGAGCGATATGTTCTTGCGTTCAAGAAATAGCCAAAACAGGTACATATTTATCCGATCATAATCTGGAACATCTGAATACACTATTGGAAGCACTAACAAGTTTCCAAGATAGACGAAAATCAATTATGGATAATTCAGCAATGTTACTGTTACTTGAATCCGTTGTTGCATGTTTAACATCGTCCTATTATACTGATACATTTCTTGTACTTCGACCAGAAGCCACAATGTTAACGAAATCTGAAGCATTTTTGTTGATAACATGTGTGGACTATTTGAAGAGCTATGATGGTCAGAGAAAAATGGAACTATCAGAGAAGCTTCTGCAAACAATGATTGAAAAGTACATTAAAATCTATGATCATTTTTTACCGTCGATTGAACAATGGAAACATTCTCTTACTCGTTCTATTTACTGTATGACACATTTAATATCATACCATGATAAAAATTTAAATGGATGTGAAGAAAAACTAGTTCATAATCTCTCTCAAATATTAAATTCAACAAATTTATTTCGAAACATCTCATCGATAGGCATTAATAGTGAAACATTGTTAATAGAAGCCGCTTTACGTATACTCAATGAATTGACGTTGAATCCGACTACACTGGCCATGGTTAGAGAAAAACAATTGAATGACACTATCATAAAATTCACCAAAGTGGAAAATGATGAAATTACGCTTAAAGCCTGCCAACTATTAGGCTCGATTATGTCAGAAGACGAATTTAAACAAACAGTTGATCTGGTTAAAGTGACAGAAGTGGCTATTAATAACTTGAAGGATGCGCTCAATTCCCCGTCAGGGGAAAATCGAGAAAAAGTTTTATCAAACTTGAAAAGTAAGTGTTTTTTCTGAGCTATGCATTGTGATACCGTCCCTCTGGTATTTGTCAAAGTTGCCGTGGTATGCTGGTTGTTTCCTTATAGATCTAGTAGAAAATGATGATATTAAAAATGAGATCATTAATCAAAATGCATTAGGTTCAATAATTAAAAGTTCAACGGACAAAGCGGATGACGCAACACCATTACAAATCCTCTATTCAATCTCATTTAATGGGAATGCCGTCGATCAACTTAAAAATGATGAAAATTTTATCGAACATGTTCGAGAACAAGAGAAATCTGATAATGTAGACGTACAGATTGCTGCTAAAGGTGAGACAATATAAATGACGCGATGCACCTGTACAGATAACGCACTTAATAATAATCTAGTGGAATCATCTACTTCATGAAAATGGGATGGTGTAAACTATATATATATGTTTAGGTATAATGTGGAAACTTGTTGGTGAAGCAAAGTTTATTACTGAACAAGAAGAAAAGGAAACCGCCCATCTTATTCAATCACAAGAATCAAATACGATTGAAGTGGATAAGTCTTCACTAAAACCAGATGACAGACGCACCAGCATTGATGAATCTGAAAAATATGACATGATGATTAGTTATTCGTGGAACGAAAAAGAATTGATTTATAAAATACACGAACGATTAGTCAAAGATGGATATAAAATATGGCTTGATTTAGATAATATGTATGGTTCAATCATCCTACGGATGGCGGAGGCCATTGAAAATTCTGACTTTATTTTGATGAGTATGTCGAGTGCCTATAAAAAATCGCCAAATTGTCAGGCAGAAGCGGAATATGCTTATAATCGAAAGCGACGTATTATTCCACTGATTACCGAAGCAAACTACAGAGCAAATGGATGGTTAGGATTTATCGCCGGTTCAAAAATGTATGTTGATTTTCAACAAGGTGACTTTGATAGCGCATATAATCTTTTAATCAAAGAAATCAAACGAAATCAAGGAAAAAGTGTTCCACCGAAAGAGCGAAGCAAACCACCAGTTGAAGAAATAAAAGAGAAAAAAGGTAACGTGTTTGTTTAACAGTGTTTTCACAACACATTTCTTGAGTCTACCGATGATAAACATTATGGCTCTGGTTCTTTCATAAATCTTGTTTTCAACTCCAGGCCTGTTAAGTAAGTGTAGGTGTCACACAAAACGTAACGGCTTTATATCGTTCACGACTATTCTGAGAATTTGTGGTGTCACCTGCTCATCATTTCAGAGTGCTTTTATGTAGTAAGATTTTTAGTTTGTCGGTATTCATCTAATTTAAGAGAACCGCACAATTCTCCATCCTGACAGTCAGACAATATCAGAATTATCCGACGTATCAGACGCATTCACGAAAGTGATTTCTGAAGAGCAAGCTACTGTCTTGGGAAAATCCTCTTTTCCTTCAGCAGTTGGTGAGACAGTGCCAGCAAGAGTAGTGGAAGATCAAGAACATGTTGGAGCGTCAAAAGGAAATATGGAGGGGATGAGAACATCCAGCCAGAATTTATGGATTGAAGTTGACTTACCTCAAACTCGGGGTTATGTTGATATTGAAGATGTGAAGAACTGGTCCGAGCAGAACGTTCTGGAATTTTTAAATGATTTCAAACTGGGTGAAATGGCATCACTGTGCCATTCAATGGATGGTTGTAGTTTGATTGAATTGTATGAAGCATGTGTCTCGTCATCAGAATCAATGTATAAAATATTAAACACGCAATTTGTTGAAGTCAATCGGAGGACATTACCAATAGCTGTTTATTTTAAATTTATTGGTAAACTTAAACAATATCTTCGAAAAAAATCAAATGAAAAACCTTGTACTATATTCTGAATTACTGGATTATCCTGACGCCAGAAAGAGCTAGTGGTCAGTAGTTGTGTACTACTGATTTGTTCGTTCCCTCTTTTTCTACATGAGACTGAATTAATGTTTGTCATCCCTCATCCGAAACAGACGAACTAATACATAGGTGATATTCGCCTTAACCAAAATTAAAATTCTTTTTTTCATAAAATGCTAATAGCCCTGATCCAAAGTGGATGAAAACTTTTCTTTTCAACAAAATGTAGCCATGACCCCGCTGTATCTATGATATTTAACTTAAAGTGTTGGCTCTGAATGGTTACTAAAATACAGCTATTTTACGATCCAAAGTTAACGTTTGAAATTCGAAGTTCTGTTCAACAAAGATTCATAATTTACCTGGGTACATTGGTTTGTCTTCAAAAAGTATCTACAAATTGTTCACCAAAGTTAGGTATGCAACAGGTACGATTAACTGTAACTGTAAAAACTATCACAATTAAAACTGCTACACTTAGAACTGGTATATTTGATAATCGAAACTGACCATAACTGTCAGAAAAAATTTATACGAGAGATAAAATATTGAAAAAGAAAATCTATGTAGTTGTTCCGGATATTGTGTCAGATTCTTTTATGGGTTTTCTGATAAACTCTAGTTTTCATCCAGTCACACTACGATTCGTTGAAAAAATAATTTTTCCGAAATATAATCTACATTAGGGTCTTTGGTCGGTGGCTGCGCAAAAAGACGGCTTCGACACAGCAAGCGTACACAGGCGGCGCAACTCTGTATGTTCACTTTCAGAAACACCCTTGCATAGGTATGCATCGGTTCCGATTATTAGCCGAAATTTTGTTAATAACCGAAACCGATATATGCCCAATCAAAACTGGGCACATTATAAAATTTCTTCGGTTATAACCGATATTTGGTTATTTCGATTTCGCACCTACCCCGCATACCAATAAAACCATTTTCTGTACCTATTTCTGTACGAACAATCAGTTTTTTGTTTGATGTAACGTCTGCAGTTTGAAGAACTAAAATTTTTTTTCACATATATATCTGTATCAGAGATTGGCACGGGCTGGGCCAGAAAGCTTTTAAGACCGGTTGGACCAGGTTTGGACCTCAAACTTTCTTTTTTGGACCGCGCCAAGGCGATGACTTCTCGTTCTTTCCGAGAGCATATAGTTAAATACATCAGTAAAATCATTATATTTAATATGAACATCTCTCTAAAAAAAAATCGTATTCTAAAAAACCAAAAAATGGTATCCCGGGACCGGGAAACCAAAATTGGTTCTTATTAGTAACAAATGCAGATACCCTTTTTTCTTCGGTTCTGTAGACTTAAATACCCTTTTCCGTATCCTAGAATACCCAAAGGGCATTTTGAAATATCAAAGAGGTATCTTACAAAACCAAATTGGTTTTCCAGAATACGGAAAAGGGTATTTCTAAGTCTACAGAACCGAAGAA